ACTGCTCATATAGATTTCCAGAGCAGAGACAAAGTCATTGTTTTTAAGGTTATGATTAAAGCTACAGCAGGTAACTTTTTTAAAAATCACTTCACAACACATGAGACATAATCTGTGAAAAAAAGGAGTTTCTTCTGACCTCCTATAGTGTTCCTAACAACTATGTTTCTTGGCTGTGATTGGTTGATTCATTCATGCTCGGTGGATTCTCGCAAATGCCATTAGGAACACTAGAACGAGCCGGAGAACTATGATTTTTTAGAAAAGCTACCTACTGCAGCTTTAAAAGCCTAGTCTAAAGGTCTTAGTGGCTGTCTATCTAGTGGTGTAGTTGCAAATTGCAACCCCTTCACCTCACCCTCTCTTTCAAGCTTACAGGAGAATCTACTGTGGCCATAAAACTATCTTGAGCCAGTTTTATGTTATATTAATATTTAATTTGGCACAAAATAATGGAAACGGTCAGATGTTCCTGCAAATGCGTGCAGAGGGTTAATAAGAAGAGAGCAGGTTTTGGGCCTTCATTTGTTGTTTGGCTGCGAACAACAAAGATGATATAAAATGATGATATAATAATGTATAGAAACGGTTTGCATTTTTTAGTATGTAATGTAATGAAATATTTTTAGAATATTGTGCTTATCTTGTTGTACTTAAAGTTGTAGTGCCCCCCCTCCATGTGATTACCAGCAGTGGCCACAAGTAAATTGAATTTGATACTCCTGCCTCACGTTGGTTGCTCCTTATTTGCATAAAGCAGAGGTCTAGGCTACTTTATGATATTTAGGGGCTTCCAGCACCGCGACTCGTCACCTCTGGGAATTCATGTAAAACTTTTCAATTAACTGTTGTCGATCTAAAATGAGAGAGAAAACGATTTTCGGAATAATGAAGTTCCAAACAAGCCACCATGATGGTCTGAAAGCGTCAAATCAGGTGCAGCCAGAAGTGCTTGTGCAGTTGTTGGAGGGTGTAGCCTTTTGTGACCACAAGTCTCCAATGCTGCGAAGCCGGCGCGAGCCCTTCCGTCCAAAAACACCTCTGTTGACATGTACCATCACCTTTAAAAAATTAAAAAACAGGTAATAACAATGAAAAATAGAAGAAAATACATAATACATCAAACAATGCTAATAATAAATGTAATAATTATACTGAAGCTTACCCCTCACAAGACCCACAGTTATTTTAATCATATTGAGTGTACATGAATGCAGTTTGAAAGGTGTATTAGCAAAGGCCCTGCAAACTGTGTTGATAAAAGTTTAAAAACCAAATATAAGACATCTTTCTGTCTTCCTAAAGCTCTTAGAAACTTGAATTACATTCAAACTCAATTGCCTTTACACACCTCAGACCTGCTGTCTATCTCCTCATCCTGCTGAGTGCTGTGCATTCCTGCACAGCTCAGCCTCTCATCCTGCTCCCACATCCTCCTCATGAAATCCACAGAAAAGGGAGAGAGACAGAGCAAAAAGAGTGGATCATATTGACAATTATTTCTGTGCGGCTGGCTCCAGGCAAATTAGATTGAATGGGCTGGAAAACAAGTTACATCAATCCAATTAGGTTATGATCAGTCGCTGCTATTGGGCAGCGGAGGCCACAGCGCGGGCCCCTTTGTGCTGTACACCAGCTAGAGACGCACGGACAGGAGACACAGTCTAAGGCGAGAGACAGGCCTGGTGCTAATGTCTGCTCTAACTCAATAGAGAGGCTGCCTCGCTGCTTTGGCTGGCTGCTCTCACTCTCTCTGATTGACCACTCCATTAAAACTGCACTGACATGACCGCTGTGTGTGTGTGTGTGTGTGTGTGTGTGTGGGAGGGAGGGTTATCCTTTAGAGATCAGACATAACCCAATTCATTTTGCAGCTGGGCCTCACATCAATCTAAATCATTTGAATCCTGCATTAAACGAGCATAAACTGCAGTGACATTTGCAGCAGCTCTGATTCGCTGCATGTGCGTTGCAGCACACTCGGGAATGCACGGTTTGCATGTTTGACATTCTGCGCTGAATTCCCTGCTGTACTCTGGGTAAAGCCCGGGCGCCCTCTGCCCCTCTGTCTCTCCTTCCACCAGTGGGATGTGAATAATGGAGTAATTACAGGAAGCAAGGCCCGACCACTAAACATTTTCCTAACCAGAGGATCTGGGAGAGGGATTCTCCGTTTGGAGAGAGGGAAGAAAAAGGAAAAGAGAGAGCCAGCCCGGGAGAGGAGTCTGCCTCTAATTTTCAGTATCTGGATTAAAGATTAGCTTCTCCTCCAACAGTTTGTATTGTATCAGATTGATGGACTGTGGGTTTGTGTGTATGTAGTTACAGTGTGATTGCATGCATATGGATGTCCCAAAAGCAAAAAAATGGTGGCAGAGAGGGAAGTCTTGTCTTACCAAGGTCACTTTAAAGTCCCGGGCTTTAAGATCCAGCATGCGAGGGTCTCTTACATCAAAGGGAATCATTAGATCTAAACACCACCACAGTGGTGGATGGAACCGCAGGAGGATGCCCTTGTTGAGACCTGATCTGGAGGAAATGTTGATTCATAAAAGAGTAAATGGTGAAGATAAATGAGGTGGGGCACTGGCTGCATTGAACAGTAAGATTATCCACTTCTCATGGCGCTTAATGAGCGGGTATCTGCTGGGCAGTGCACTCAAATTATGTGGAATATTCAATCAACACAGACAGAAACATGCTCGTTGGATTGCCTGGTTTCACGCAAAAGAGATTCTTATGTGCAGATACACATATAAACTTGCTCTAAATGTACATTTACTCAAGTACTGTACGTATCCCTTCGTAGTAGGGTCCGGGTCATTCTTGACTCAACTCAAGCTTCCCTTTAAAATTATACCAATTCTTGATCCAAGCAATATATTTTGCACTCATAAATACCCCATTGGTAACTAATGCATGGGTGAGTAATCCTTAATTAATGTCTGGCAGAAGAAAGAGTGTATTCTTCAGCTAAAAAACAATCATATTATAGTCGGCAGTTTATTGTAAGGTCTAGCTGGCTAAGTTTGATATAATACCTTTGTGGAGGTCATTCTGTGCAGCTGCAGCTGGACAATAATCTTAATTTTGGAAATGTGTAAAAACTGTTTGGAGTCCCTTAAGAAAAAGTTGTCAAATTAAATGAATGTTATTTAGGGTTTTTACTGCTTTTCAATCTCAAAGTAGGTCCAAACTTTCCCAAAAACTAGTACATTTCTGAGATACCTTTCCTTGAGTATTGTTAATGTTATGCTACTTTATAATGTATTATACATAACATGTTTTATATACAGTATCGGGGGTCAGTACTAAAAAAAGATAATGTATTACCCGTTACTAAAAAAGTAATCCCTGTAGAAAGTAATTTGCTACTTTACTTTTGGGTTACTCCGCTGAGATCACGTAACATGAACTGCATTCAACGAGCCAACCACAGTCAAACAAACTCACTTGAGTCGCTCGCTCACTGAACTCTGGCTTTACAGCAGACTAGTCCAGATTATTTTGACGTGTTTATCACTAAAGCAGCAGTTATATCTCATGAGGTGGAGTCCCTAAAAGTGTTTATCAGACAACCTGTTCCTCCTCAGAGTCAGCACTGCCCAGACTTAAGAGCCTCTCCAACATGTTGTATCCTCCTCATCGAAAGCAAAGAAGTCACAGTGATTCTAGAGCAAACTTGCATTAGCCGCCCATTATGCATATAATTAACTTGATTCATTATATATAATGAACTTTTACATTGTGGTATAGTTATCATTAGTTAAAGAAAAAAACACACAAAAAAACATTTTTTGTTAAAGATGCAGCAGTGACATTACACCATAATTTTGCTAGCTAAAATTAGCACATGACAATGTGGCAGCTGCCCATAGTCACTGCTACCACACAGTGTGCTGTTGCAGGGTCAGAGTTATGGGACATCTGAAAGAATTTTATGAAAAGCTTTTTTTCAAGTGGCCACTTTTGCCCTTACTTTACTGCTACTATGACATGTACAACAAAAAATAAAATCATATATTTAATAACAAATCAGAATTTTAATTAAACCTTATGGATATATTAATAATGCAAATATAAAGTAACACAGAAAATAAAGTCATTGCCAGCACAGAATAAACTGAAAATGTATTCCCTCTCTCTTTAGCACACACACAAAGTGGTACTACTAAATGTTCTTGGCCCCCCTGACCACAGCTCTCCCAGGGCCATAAGATGTTAAATTTCTATAATTCAGGGGCCTCTGTCCAGCTCTGCCTCCCCTGAATCTTTCACATACGCACACTGAGTGCTCTCTGACCCTGGCTGTGGTGTCCCGCAGGGCCAGGGGTCAGCCCTGGGTGTCCCTGTCGGTGTGGCTCCGGATGGTTCAGGAAACACAGGACTGCTCCCTCTGCGCTCCCCAACGACCCCTGAGGACCCCGAGGTGGCATTTCCCGTCCGATTAGAGCTAAAAATACAGCGGCTGCTCCGAGAGCCACGGCCCCTGGGTGATCGTGATGGAGGGAGGAAGGAAGCAGCTTTTCCTGCCCTCCTCTCTCCTCGTAAGTCATTTGTCACCCTTCTCTCTCCTCCGTTCTCTCTCATTCTGTCTCTTATTTCCCCCATGATTTTTTTCTATGATGGAAAACTTTTCCGGACAAGCAAAAAATCCATGAACCCGCTTCACCTCTCCCAGGACAGGAACACCCATGACATGTAAAGCTCTTTGAAACGAACTGTGCAACAAATGTCATTTGAACTGACAGTAAACAAGACTATAAAAGCAGGGTGGAGGGAGGTGGGGGCAGCTGCTTTAACCTCTGGATCGGACTTGAGCTAATGTGCTATTAATGCCCAGACACACTCATATAAACACAAACATTAGCAAGTTCATTGCCCGGTCCAAAAGAGAGAAAAAGTTGGCTCGCACCAGCAACAGGCTAATCATCTGCTACGCTGAGTAAATACTGAGTTTGTGGTCCTGAATTAAAAGATTTCCCTCCTCAAACAGGATGGCACAGCAGAGCCGCGTGACACAGCTTACAGGGAGAAAACAAAACCTGCAGTAGGTAAGTAAAACATGATTAAAACGGAAAATTAGGCATAATTGCTTGTGCATAATTTTGGGGAAAGCATTTATTTGGCCTAAATGAGAAAAACATCCTCTTGTACGGGTATAAAAAATGACTCCCATGATTGGATTATTTGTGTATATAAAAATACAGCACTTTTGGGCAGCAATGTTGGCTCTTTAGTTTGAATAAATGTTTGCAAATCTTATTTCCTTGCAGAAATACTTGCATAATGTCAGATACACGGCTGAAATACACTCAGTGTTGAAAGAACGATTTTAAAATAACAGTTTCTTTTATTGAGTCAATTTATCTCACTAGTACACTCACTCAAATCCTCTCATAAAGAAAGACCTCTGCCATGAAATATTAATGGACATCTTAGTAATTCTGTTGACTGTGAGCTTTATTCTGAAGCCATGCACGCAAGAGCTGTTGAAGTATGTGAAATGAGGGATTAGCAGCCTGATTTGATTTGACATGTTTACAATAGAGCAGGTGCATCAAATGATGATTCTGTGATTGATTCAGCAGCCACGCCCATTCCAAAGTAGCAACTTTGATCCACCTTTTCCAAACTGTCAGGAAGTCAGGCTCTTTGAACTGCCCAGCACATGGGAATAATGAAGGCGAGGATGTCACCCAATCAGGAGAGCGCTGTTTGTTATGGTGTAATACTTTAGTAATAGTGACAAACTTTATTTATACATCTTTCACCTTTCAAAACAGAGTTTCAAAGTTTTTAAGTTTAAGTTTACAGGTGAAAATAAGGATTAAATAAACCATGCAGAAAAAATCAAACAAATAGAAACATGCCAGCTCAACATGGCGGACTCCATTAACTCCTATTGCATAACTGTCCTCAAACCATTCCTATTTATTGAGCACTTAATACAGAAGAGGGTTAAATAAAACTGGAGTGTGCAACATGTCTAAAAACCATCTCCAACCTTAAAAAACATCTTGCTCTATTATGGACTAGGCTCTCTGTTCCCTCAGTGGTCAGCACTATCAGACAGCTTGCTATTGCTTGCATATTGGCAGAGCAAATTTGCATGTCAAAGTTTAGCAAACTTCCACTGGACTCAACTTCTCCCTGTGAGCAAATCCAGGTCTTTAGTCTTGAGCTCAGGAAGAGCCAGAAGAGCCCTGCCTGAGGAGCCAGCTCATGAAATACTTAGTAAACACAATCTTAAAATCAACTGTAAAACTGACTGGTAGCCAGTGAAGAAACTGTATACCAGTAGACAACCTAGGCTGGGAGAGCGGAATAGACAATAAGGTGTGCTATTTCACCACCATGGACAGTGCCATGGGTTTATCATTAAATAGCGACCTGCTGATATTTAAGACTTAATTCCAACTTCTGATAGGCTGTTTCAGAACCATGATCAGATAATGGATGAAAAAAACAAGATTACTAAACCAGCGTGCATTCAGTAATCACACAAACAACCCACACATGACAACAAATGAGGCAACAAGTCTGCAAGCAATGTGTGGACTGCCATTACTACAATAACCAGCCGACACTGCAGTCTACAGCACCAGCAGCCACAAACATTATGTAATAAAAAGGCATCACGAATAATGGATATGAAACAGTCAGTCTGAATCCACTATAGCCTGTATGAAACATCCAAACAGTCCAACATGGTTAAACACGACTAACTCTACGTATTCCACCTTCATCTTCATCATCATCACGGCTGCTGTCAGCTACCTGCACAGAGCTAGCTTCTGCTAGCTAACAGTGTCATCTGTTTGGCTAGCAGAGCTAACAGCAGCACTGGTCTGAGTCTGACTTTTTGCTGCAATTAAGACACATATTCAAAATATTTAACTAAACAACAAAATGTATGTTAAGTCAGGCAGATTGGGCCAAAGGTGGGCCCCTAGAGAACTGTGGGCCTGGGGCATTTCTGCCTCCCTCGATCCGCTACAGGGGCCAAGGATAGAGCCTTGGGGAACACCACAAGTCTGGTGGACCAAGAAAGAGAAGGTATCTGCAGCAACTACTGAAAAAGTTCTGTTTGACAAATACAATTCAAACCTGTCTAATGCTGATGCCATAACATTAAACAAATTGTTGGTCCAGTGTATCAAGATAGAAATAAAATGACCTTGATCAAAATCTGACTCAAATCAAGAAGCAAGCAAGCAAGTCCTGCAATATACCAAAGTACTGAGCAAACAGTCACGTTCCCGCTCCTCAGTGTTCCAACGTAAAATCTCACAATGATGCTTTTGGTCCAGGTTTGCGTTATAAATCATAATAATTATGGTTTTGGTTATGCTAAGCTGCTCTCTGACTCATTTTCACACATGTGATATTTCTCTTTTAGGACCTTGTTAATACCTATGAGTCATATTTCCAGTTCTTTGACAAACTGAAAGCTGGCTTTGTCAGAAAACTGAATTTGTAAATACAGTAGGCTCCTCTGTAGATTGATTTGTGACTACAGAGCATATTTGACAGGCCAAGTTCAGGGCAAAACAGGATAAGAGAGTTTTTGTTTTTAAACACAAGTTAAATATAAAGGTGGCTCCTATTATGGCTAAGTATGGAATGCAGAGGAGAGGAGAAAAAATAACTTAATCTCGGCTCCTTGGGATATAAATTAATGTTTACTGCTTGGCTGTCTTTCCATACACGTTCCCTCTGTGTGCCACTTCCTTGTTTGCACTCTTACTTTTTCTCAAAATTTTTTCTCGTGTCGGAGGTCTGTCTCTTGTTCTCACCCTCGCTTGCGTTCACTTTGTTCTCTCTCTCTCTCTTTCTGCTGCTGTCTCAGCTGCAGGCCATATGATATCTTGGTCTCTGTGATAAGTCGATTTTCTAATTTGCTGTGTTTTCAAAGCCATTATTACAGCTTATTTATATTTTGAAGCTGACTGCTGGCTTCGCCATGTTAGAAGACAATTACTAGGAAGCCCATTTTGTGGAGCCCTGTCTGGTTCTGTTAGGAAACAGAATAATAAATCATAGTGGAGGCAGACCAAGTGGATAATAGCTGGAGTCCTACACACACACACACACACACACACACACACACACACACTAGAGTGGCTGGATATTTAAGTGTAGTAAATGGCAAGCAATACTCTTTGGTTTTTGGTGATTTTAGTCATTTAAAGCCCGATCAATACTGTATTTTGGAAAGAGGTACAGATATTTGAGAGTTAAATATAATATATGGCCCCATTTCCTTTTTTTTTAACATATTTTATATAAAGATCCTTGAATGTGGTTTTTAAAGAATTGAGAACATTTAACTGGTTAGTGTTCTCTGCTGAAGAAACCATAGTTTGGCAACAATACTTAGGATAAGAATCTGCAGCTAAATGGCAAGCAAACACAGTCTGTGCATTTTGTACAAAAGACTGGAAATGTCCTAATGTGCAAAAGTAGCAAAGGGACTAATTAATTTTTTTAGCCATGTTAGCAACATGGCTCTAGGGATAGCGATGACAGTTGATCACTGGTCAACAACTATTGGATGGATTACCACCAAATTGTGTACAGACATTCATGGTCCCCAGAAGATGAAACCTACTGACTGGTGGTTGTCTGACTTTATATATAATGTCACCACCACCAGTCTGGTTGAATTTCTGGTTTTAGAGTGAAACGTCTCCACAAATATTGGATGGATTGCATTTCTCCAGTTAGGATGACATATAACAAACAGTCCAAGTTTTTTGTATGTTTGAATTTATAGTGAGTTAAAGCCCAGGCGGGATCACTTCTGGGTGCTGCTGTTTGACGTTTGTTAAAAGTTTCAGTTTCATTTTAGGCTATCAAATTAAAATCATTAACCATATATTTTTTTAATTTTAATATCACATTTAGTATCACTTGTCATTCAGAATCAGAATCAGAATCAGAATCAGAAATACTTCATTGATCCCCGGGGGAGGGATTTGTTAAATTCAATCTAACTAAATATAGTGGGTGTTAAAGTATATCTGTTTGTGGATTTTGGTGTCTATGTCCTAATCACTGAATATGTAAAATGACCAACTGTCCCATCCCATAAACCCCTGCTGTATTCCTCTCGCATATCTGTCCTGCCACATCCCCAAAGCGGCAGCATCCGTCTAGGAACAGAGGCTGGTTTTTTCTCCTTTGGGACAGGCTGGTGCCAGAGAGAGCGCTGTGGGTAAACCTCTCACCCCCCCACCACCCCGGCAAACAAACCACAAACAAACCCGCCGGGGCCCCAGGCACCAACACAACCACCGGCCCCAGCCCCTCAGTCTGCCTCAGTCAGCTGGCTGTCTGTGTGTGTGTGATTGTTTAGGGTGAGTAAAAAAAACAACAACATGTATGTCTGTACAAGGATTTTCATTAAAATGTCAGGATCTAAACACACATGGACCTTTGTGTTGAAAATGTGTCACAGGCTAAAGACGACTAATAGTCAGTTTAACCTGCAGTTCAGTCAGGTCATCAAAGCATTATCTGGTGTCCTATAGGTTGTTCCTGGGACACATTTAGTGGAAGAAGTGATGTAAGGAAAAGACAAAGAACAGAAACATCTACAGCCATGCTACTCTGTGAGGCTTTGAGCTAAATGCAAATGCTACTATGGCAACAAGCTCACAATGACATACAGTGTTTCCACCATCTTAGTTTAGTGTGTTAGCATGTTAACATTTGCAAATTTAGGTATTCAAAGGAACCTTTGAATGTCTGTCATTATATTTTATGCCGTCATCACCCTAAAAGAAATATTGTAACAAAATCCTCAGTTTGAATAAAGTTATTAATCGGATTAAATGAGTCTCTTTTTGTTAGGTAAAGGCGCAGTGAGTAGGACTTGTTGGCTGGTGTTCATGAACACAGGACTAAAAGTTAATTAGCCAGAGAAGGCGAGAGTAGCGGTGGTTGAGAGAGCCAGAGAGTAAATGTACCAGAACAAAGCAGTGAATCAGAGGAATACAATGTTATTTTCAGAATGTCTCACGCTGGTTACGTTCTAAAGCACAAATAA